GACAGACAGACAGACAGACACAGAGAGAGAGAGAGAGAGAGAGAGAGAGAGAGAGAGAGAGAGAGGGTGTGATTGGACGAACTTGCTGCCATTTATTCCCTCTTCTGCTCGAAATGTTTCCCGAATGTGAAAGCAAGCCGACGAGTGTAACTTTCCAGATGTTTAGGGGAACGGCCCTGTTCCTATTGCCAATGGGCGAGTGGGAGAAGTGGGGAGAGAGGCCACAAGTGTCCATCCTCCTTCCGGATCCTCAGGTCGTCCTCAGAAAAAAAAAAAAAAAAAAAAAAAAAAGGAGTTTGCAAGTCCCAGAGAAGAAAGCTGAAGCTAAAGAGACGAACCTGTCAAACAAAAACAAACCGATGGAGGGGGACAAGGCCGTCGCTCCACTACTCGGCAATTATGCAAAATCAGGATGAATTTTCCTCTGGAACATGGAAAGATACACCACCATAATTTTTGTCTTTTGTGCAGGTGGTGAGTAGTGGATCGAGGTCCCGAGAGTCGATGGGCATAGCGGCGATGGCGGCGACGGAGGAGGAGGAGGAGGAGCAGGAGGAGGAGGAGGAGGAGATTGAAGGGAGGTGATGGACTGCAGGAGAAAGGGGCGAGAGTCGACTCAGTCGAGCTTACCCGGAGAATGACGTGCCGCGTGTCACTTTCTGGTCACGGATCAACAATCGGGTCCCGACAGCCTGCGATCCCGACAGCCTTTCTACCTTGTTCGCTCTCGCTCAGGGGGAACTGCTTGCCACGTATCGCTCTACGAACGACTGCCGGTGTTTCCTCCCGCTCGCTGCATTCAACAAGCGCCCCAACTGTGTACTTCAGGAATCGCGGCGCAGGGCGGAGACGGACGAATCCAGAAAATATTTCTTTTCAAAAAAAAAAAAAAAAAAAAAAAGAAGGAAAGAAAACCGAAAACACGCAGCTACTCACCATCGCCCACCCTGCTGAAGTACGTACCGCACCTGCTGGTGGCTGCAACTGCCAGAAGCAAAGATGAATTGAAGGCCCTAGTTGCACTACTCGCCATCCGCCAAGATTTCGAATGCATCTGGACAAACCGATGTCCACATGCAATCAAAATGTTGGCGGATGGCGAGTAGTGCGACGGGGCCTGAACACGGACGTGGCTGCTTCGGGGTTCCCGTAAAAAAAAAACCGAAAAAAAGAAGCTGTACCGTCTAGATTGTTTTTTCTTTCCTTTTTTTTTCCTAAATGGAACAATGCTCAAACCCGCGTGGGAAAGTAGGGAAAACTTAGAATAGCAAGGAGATTTAAGCTAAACGGCTGATGCCGCGTAGCAAGGTCTTAACTTTGTGAGGTCCCTGGCCTCGAGTGACTTTTTTTCAGTCCTTTTTTTTTTTTTTTGAGAAGTTGCCACTTTATATTTCAAATCAAAAGTGGTCGAGGCCGGGGACCTCACAATTCTACCCGGTGTTGACAAGATAAAGCCTGCTGGAAACCGGGTCCAGCTTCCCACGACCGCCCAGTCTCAATAGGACAGAACTCCTCACACTAGCCTTGAAGCACAGAAAAAGGCTGCTGAACTAACCGATAACAAACCTCTCCAGTCCTTCAGCCTATAGCATGATATCCTTGCAGCGCAGAAGAAGAAGTGCAACGCCGGCATGTTTCTAACGACGAAACACTATTGGCAAAGAACTACAAGTTATAATCTACAGAATTCAAAAACGCGCAAGGCAATTCACAAGGAATTTTACAGTTTTAACCCTAAAATTATTCCCAAAACAAACTAAATAATCCCAAATAGTCCCAAACTTTTTTTCAGTCTGGAATTGAATGGTTTGATAAAAAAATAATAATAATAATAATAATAATAATAAAAAAAAAAAATAAAAAAAAAAACCTCCTGAATATTCGGAGGTAGGGCCCAAAGACGACTGCCATTGATAAATCTGATCGGCTGCCGTCATTTCGTTTCGGCCTCTGAAAAGGTAGGACGCCTACCCGAGGCCCGCTGTTTTCCGAAGCGGCAAAGGGGCCCAACCAATTCAATTACCTGTCAAATCTGGACAGGACAGCCTTTCAGGCCTTTTTTTACTGTCATTATAGTATTACGGGGAACCCCGAAACCCCGTAACAGCCACATCCGTGCTCAAGCCTCCAAAGAGGGAATGGGCCTCACCACACCTGTCCCGAAAATGGGGCTCTCAGGAGGGGAAGTATGGCCACACCTACTCTCCAAACCCATTGTCTTGAAAAAGTTGGAGAGCTGTCAGAACGCGGTTGGAGAGAGCGCTCCTGAACTTTTCGGGAGTGCCCGCCTGCAAAGAGGCCGTTTTGGAGGCCGTTTTGGAGAGCGGTCCGAGGCAAACCCGATTTCGGCCCGAATTTCGAGAGTGTGCCGCGACGGACAAGCGTTTTGTGATGTTTGGTTCGAGAGAACTCTCGAACCGAGGCCTCGGTCCACCACTCACCACATGCACAAAAGACAAAAAATATGGCGTGTATACTTTCCATGGTCTAGCAGAAGATTCATTCTCATTTTGCACATTTGGTGAGTAGTGGAGCAAGGCTCTTGCACCGCCACACTGCACTCTCGAAAAACGTCGTTCTTTCCTGACACAGTGGAGAGCGCCCCCTTCGAGAGCGCAGTGCTGCGATGAGCCCTCTCGAACCTTTTTTCGCAATTTCCCGAGTTAGAGAGCGCTCTCGAACATTTTCCCATTTTCAGGATAGGTGTGGCGAGGCCCAATCTGTTCGTGGGGAGATTTGACAGGTAAGAAAAATAAAAGTGGTGACATGGAGCTCGTGGTCCTCATCGCAGTGCTACCCCCCCCCCCAAAAAAAAAAAAACACAGAGAAAAACGGCATAATAGAGGGCCTCCCTCGCTCCACCACTCTCCACATGCACGACAGGCATGAGTTTTTTTTCTTTTTCTTTTTCTTTTTTTTTTAATGGTCCAGTTCACCACAGTGGAATGAAGCCCCCACGCCGCAGCTACTGGCAACACGTGGTGAAATGGAGATGGGAGGCCTCGCCGTAAGATTCATCAACAAATGTGAAAAAGACAAAACTATGGCTGGGGTGAGCTCCCATTAGCAAAGAGGGATTGGATTGAACGCCTGAATCTGGCCGCGTTTGTGGACAAGTGCAGATTCAGGATCTCAATCCAATCCCGGTTGCTAGTGGGACCATCCTCCTGGTGTACCTTCCCACGGTTGTGGGAGAGACTTGCTCACTTGCGCACTTGAAGTAGTGCGGCCTCCACATAACTCCTCGCTGCACTACTCTCCACATGCATAAAAGACAAAATATGGCGGAGCATCTTTCCGTGTTCTAGCAGAAGATTCATTCTCATTTTGCACATTTGCAGAGTAGTGCAGCGCCCCCCATATAGGGCCTCGCCACACTATTCCCGACTTGGGATTTTTTTTTCCTTTTTTTTTTTTTTAATTTGGACCATTTCTCGATTTATTCGTGTCATCCTTGCGCAGGGGCCATTCTAATCTTCTTTCTCTGTATCATTCCAATTTTAACGGATGTCCTCTGTATCATTCCAATTTTAACGGATGTCCGGAAGGACACTTGGAAAATTCTTCGGGAGTGCAGCATAGGGCCTTGTTAGACACTCCTTGGGGACGTGAAATCCACAAGGCTTGGGGATGAAATTGAAAAAGAAATGTGAAAACACCACAAGGAAAATTCCTTGTGGCATCCTTGTGGCGGCAGCCATTTCTTCCTTGTGCCCAAGGGACCTCGTGAGGTCCCTTGGGCACAAGGAATCCGCGTTTCACGGAGAGGAGAGGGCACACGGGTAGATAGACCTTACAGCTGAGAATCTGGATCGTGGCAGCACCCTATTGGCTGAAGGCCTGAAGCACAACTGTTTTTTTTTTTTCCTTTCTTTTTTTTTCTTCTGACATCAGGCTTAGGAAATGTCCTCGGGCGACGTCCCCGAGGACAGGTGGAACGAAGAGCCCAAATTCCCTTACGAGCCAGAAGGAAAATTCCTTGTGGTGCAAGGAACTCGTAAGGAGTGTCTAACGAGGCCCATAGCCACACCAGCTCCCGCTGCAAAGCTTTATTTTCAAGAGACCTCGGGCCTGGCTGCACTACTCTAGACTCTCCAAATATTTCGAGAGTTCGACTAGGGCATACTCACACGGGGGGAAGAGAGGATTTGAGGTTTTGGGCATGGCTCAAGTCACACTGCTGTACCTTTTCAGATGGTACAAGGTCGCGGCCCTCTGGAGAGATGGGGATTTGGTACTTGGCTGGTCACAGGGCGCCATCCACAAATTGTGCAATAACTTTTGTGAACGAAAGTTTTGCCAAATTTTGAAGAAAATGCAAAAAGAAAAAGGGCATTTGTAGTCACCTGTGGAGGTGACCGCAAAATCCCCTGCCCCGCGGCTTCCCAGGCCGCTGACAAATGGGCACAGGTATAGTACATTTGCGAATTTGGTAGATCCCTGTGACCGGCCTTTTCCCCTTTTTTTTGGGATTTTGGGATTATAGGTCCCGTGTGAGTATGCCCTTACTCTAGAACCTGTGACACTAGATGGACTCACGAAACCCTGGGCGTTGTCCGGCTCGACAGAAGAGCTGCACCACTGCGCTAGGAGACAAAGTCTGGCCGCGGGGACAGGAGGTCCACTCTCGAAAGACGAGCCTGTCGGCGGGCAACTCCCGAGGACACTTGCAAATTCGGTTTTTGCAGGCGGGAGACTCTCGACGTTTCAAGAGTGGCGTTGTAGCGTGGCTTCTGACAGCTCTCGATCGGGTTTCGAGAGTTTCCCGATCGAAAGTAAGTGCAGCGAAGACCCACTGTCAAAACTTCGAGAGTCTAGAGTAGTGCAGCAAGGCCCCTCCTCCGCTCCTCCGAGTTTCATCCCAAACTGAGAATTTATATTTATTCCATTTATCATTTATGCAATTTATTCTATTCATAGAGTAAAAATCAATTCATTCAACGAATCCATTGCAGTACATTGTGTTTGAACTAATATTTTAGATTCTCTGTATATTCTTGTACTATGATATTGTGTATATTTGTATGGGATTCTATGCTCAATAAATCTACTACATAAAACTATTAGATTCAGGAGTGGAGGCGGAAGGGACAAACGACTTCTGCCATACTGCTTCACGCTGATAGTGTCAATATGTGGCAAATGGCATTGGGCCTGGCCACACCACTCCCGACTTGGGAAAATTTTCGGGAGTGCTCCCGGAAGTGAAAACGAGCTGGGGAGTGCCTTTGGCCACACTGCACTCTCGACCCGGCCGCGCTCAAAGTCTGAAAATGCCATTTGCCACATATGGACACGATCAGTGTGAAGCAGTCTGGCAGAAGTCGTTTGTCCCTTCCAGCTCCACTCCCGAATCTGGGATGAAACTCGGAGGAGCGAAGGAGGTCTCTCGAAAAAACAGTTTTGCAGGCGGTGAGTTCGGGAGTGCTCTCGGGAGCCACATTCTGACACCTCTCTCCTGAATTCAATCTGACAGGTTGAACTCGGGAGCTGG